GGTCAAGTGGGTAGAAGTCGTTTATTTTTTCCCTGAGTCAGTGCCTTGAGGGACCAGCAGGCAGAAAGCTCAGAGGGATGTTTTGCAATGTTTTGACTTTTGTGGGATATTTGTGGCACACAGGCAAGGCTATCAGTAAAGTCACATCATTTACATTTTCATACAGTTTGTTGTTTTTTCTGCCAGACTAAGAAGGTGGTTGGACTCTGAGGTCTGTAGACGGTTTTGACCCTCAGTGCCCCTGCCCTGCGGCCACACAGACAGCATTGGTGTTAAAAATGTCAGTACCGCTCAGACGTGTACACTAATGTAAACTTTTCTATTTTGCCTTAAGTGTCCAACTTTAAGAATCCAGCAGCTATGCAGGGAGCCGCTGTCAAGATTGTCAGGTAATGTCAAATGATTGTTTCAATTATGGATTTCTTATTGCTTTAAAAGCTTTTGTAGTCATTAAAAGAAGATGAATGAGTTCTCTGATTATACATCAATCCCTCAATTTAATAATACTGTATTAGCATTGCACTGTAACACTAGCAGTATCACCATTATTCACTTCTGTCTGTTTCTTCTAGAGTTTCTGTCCTCCTGCTGGTGCTTTGGTCAGACCCCCTGAACTGCCAACACACTACAGACCACAGGAAGGTGAGCAGCAGGGGAAAATAAACATGTGTGATCTGTCTGACACCCTCATACACACGACCTGGCAGACCTACCTCGAATATTTCCAGGATTTTTTTATTCTGTTGTTTTATCTATTAATCTAATCACATGGTTGGCACAGGCTGGCGGAAGGCTTGTCTAGTGGAACATGGCACGCATGATTGTGTCTTGTTAGCATAGACAAATGCCACCTTAAGTTATACACTACAATTCCTGCTTCCTCTGTCCCAGTATGTGTAAACAGGTAGAGTATTCCCAGGGGGAACCTGACCAGGCTGCTAATCTGTTAGCTTGTAATGAGAGTGAAAGGTTCTGTTGATTGCAGTGAAACAGAGAGGGCTTATGTCAGCTGTCAACAAACCACCTCTTGACCTCTGGAGCCACAGAACCCACATGGAGGGAACTAGTGGATGCACCTCGTTGGTAAAGCTGACTGACAGATCAGCTATCCAGTCAAGTTTGTGGGGTTTTGGTGCAAGTCGGCTCCGTGTGTTTTCCACCCTGCATTAAGCTGTGTGACCTATGGCTGACCCCGGAGATGACAGTGGCGTTGAGTTACAAAGGCTGAAGCAGGGTAGAAGAGGTGGGGGGGCGGGGGTCTGAGTTCTCTCTGAATAGCTGCACAGGCTGATTGACAGGAGAAGAGCTTCCTGCCAACTCTCCCGACTGCTTCTGTATTCTCTTTCCATCCGCTAAAAGTCAAAGGCAGCTGAGCTTTTACTTTGGCCATGTGTTTGCCCAGAGAGGTTGCCGTGAATGGAGACAAAGTGCTCCTTAAAGAGCAGGATTTCCACGCGGCTCCACGTATGTAGCCAGCTTGGCACAGGGCTTCTCCTGGCAGGTTTCTCCAACAGAGAGTGCAGTGATCACTGCTAATTCGTCCTTGGCAATGTTGCACAGAGGGATTGAGTCAATAGTGAGAAATGCAGGTAGCCAATAGGGGATAGCCCACTAACAGACACCCACTAATCAGCCAAATCAGGGCTTTATAACCGTGAACAGAGGTCTGTTTCATGGACAGTGGTGGGAGGCAGAGGGGCAGGATAGTCATGTTGATGAGATGAGGTCACTGACTTCAGCCTTTATACAAGGCCATGATCTGGGGAGATTAAAGTCTTGTTGATGGAGGCGTTCCATCAATCCTTGGCATTCACTTTGTGTGGCACTATCCAACTTCTTTGCACTCTGCGGTGTCGCTAATCATGCTTGTTTCATCCCCATACAGGTTACTCAGAGGGCAGAGCCCCAACAGGAGTTCAGGGCAGAGCATGGAGAAATCCAGGGCTCATGGGGCGCCTGGGGACCCTGGTCAACCTGCTCCCGGACCTGTGGAAGAGGGGTTCAAGAGCAGAGCAGGCCCTGCCTGCCTGTTTACACACAATCCCATTACCCCTCCAGAAGAGCTGATGTTCACCCTCAGCAACCAGACCATGTCATTTCAGCCCTGCGGCCAACAGTTCCTCTGCACCGCGACACAGCCAAGTCCTACAACAGCAGTAATCGTGGAGAGCTGAGGGATGAGAAACAAACCCGGCCTGGAGGACGCAGGTACTGTATCATCTAGCACAGGGTGATGGGATTGGCTTTTGAGCCAAAAAATCTGAGGTCTTGAAATCACTTTACTTATAAGTGGAAATTTTCATGGCTGTGATTTTTTTATTTTGAGATGTGCTTAGACAGTGTAAACTGGTGACAAACGGAAAAAACATGAATATGATAAATGCAGATGCTTCCATACAGGGCACGAGGAGGCAACTCTATTTTTTGGGGGGCTTTTATTGCCTTTATGATAGTGACAGCTGAAGACAGACAGGGAAGGGGGGCAGAGAGGGGGGATGACACACAGC